TGTTTTCATATATATATATATATATATATATATATATATACAGTGCCATTTATGTCGAAGTTATTTTGATGGAATGGCCAATGTCCGATATTTAACTTTATCGCCGATATTGGCCGATACCAATGCCATGCCGATAATATGTGCATCCCTACTTATAATCCTAGAGTATTGGGGAGACAGGTTTTGATTCAGCGTGCTAACTATCCTACAGCAAGAAAAAGCCTGAAGAAAACATCTAATAGAAAACGTATTTCCCATTTCTCTATAAGGCCCTTTGATTACTTTTAATATCTTGATTTGGCCTTCTGGAAATAAAAATAAATGTTGCCCACCCCTGGGCTAGATACTTTGACTAGCCATTAGCTCGTTAGCGCAGTCAGAGTCAAACTATTCAAGCAAAAATTGCTCTCCGTTTAGCTGACGTCGCTTTTAGTTTGACGACATTCTAGATGAAACTCTGAAAACTTATAGCCTAGCTCGGCTAACCGCTGTTAGCAATAGCCGATAACACGTGAAGGTACCTGAAACAGTACCGTTTGTGTGATTTAATAAGATATAAACTGACAGAAGAGGAAATGAAAAGCTTCAGCTGTCATCCCTTTTCATGTGCGTGGCAGCCATATTGGATTTTTGAGGTTAGGACAGGCCAAAAATCTCCATCTTTCCAGGTCTGAACTCCAACTTCAGGGGTTTTGGAGTTGATTGTCCCCATGTTGGACCAAATGTAGCGCTCCATAGTTGCTCAGAAAGCTGTCTACAACAGGTTAGGTTTTAATCGTTCATATCACTTTCCTTTCAACACGGGTGAAACCGAACAGATGTCGTTTTTGCGCGTTATTTCCCCGTTTTCGGGTCGCAACCTTTCTCGAGAAAGACGTCCGTGTGCTTGAGCATCAGAGCTGCTGTGCGCCATCTTCTCAACGCAACGTAACCTCCGGCAGGTCGTTAAACATTGGGCCGAAAATAGAACCGTTCCGATGAAAGGGAGGATAAATAATGCAGAGAGAATACAAAACCTCGTACGGGGATGACGAGTCCCACGCAGAGGCAGCACGGCGAGGAGGAGTGAATGGATGGAACAGGAAGGACGACCCAGTCAGGTTTCTTACTTTACCCTCCTCATCAGCCTCAGGGTGTTTTATTTTATTATTTATTTTCAGATTTCATGGCTGTGTCTGTGGGGAGGAATGATCTTGTCCCTGCCACCATGTTTTTCCCGCCCCGCCAGGGCCCAGATACAACACCCAGCCTGGCCGCCTCATCCGTTTTTTCATGTCTTGATCAGAAACGCCCCACGTATTTACACAAGAGCGTGCTTTGTTGTTTTTATTTATAAACTCTGAGTCATTGATTAACCTTATCGAACACATTAAACACGCGAGACAAACGATTTTCAAAGTGGACGCCTCATTTCCAGCTGGGTCATTTAAACATTTCCTAAATTAAACATGTTTCTGATGATAAGCTGAATTTCGTCACTCTGGGCCAGGGTTTGTGCTTGTGTGGGGCGACACCTGGTGGTGGGAGACGTGCATGGCATGGCTCCCCGATGGACAACTTGGAAAAAGTCCTCAAAATCAAAACGCAGTGGACGGTAACCATGTTACTGGTGTCTGTTAGCAAAATATCTCATGAAACGCTGGACAGGTTTTAATAATACTTTCGGGAAATAATCTTTAGATTTCTATCTACAACTGATAAGCTTTTGGGGCCAATCCAATTCAAGATGGCTGCCAACATCAGCTGACTTTAAAAATCACAAAAATGGCTGACTCAGTCTTTTTTACGGATGTTAATGTAAAATTTGGTGTGGTAGTAGCTGAGGCGGGTCGACCAACGCATTCTGAGCTTCATCTGGTTGCAAAAAAAATTAGCATTACGCCATTATTTGGAGCCAACTCTGTCTGTTAGCAAAATATTTGATTAACCACCAGATGGATTCCTATGTAACGTTCAGGAAATTATCTTTGGATGCATCCCGACAACTGATTAATTTTTTTAGGCCAATTCAAGATGGCCGTCACAGCAAAATGGCTTTAGTTCAGTTAAACAAATATTGAACTAAAACCTGAGGTAGTAGCTGAGAGTCATTCGTGACACATGCTGGGCTTCTTGTTATGCAAGATCTTGACTTAAAATTTTAGCATTACACTTTGGAGCCCATGCTGTCTGTCTGTTAGCAAAATATCTCAAGAACCACTGGACAGATTTGAACCAGCTGATTGACTTTTGGAGTTGATCCATTTCAAGATGGTTGCTAATCAACCTCAGCACAAAAATGGCTTCGACTGTCAGTTTTAGAGCTAAAATTCGGCGTGGTAGTAGCTGAGGGTCATACTCAACGCAAGCTCTGAGCAGGACAGATCTAAGTCCTGGTTTGATCCTGGGTCTGATCTGCAAACTGAATCATTTTTGTAAAGAGTATAAAAAGTCTGAAGGCTGCAGGTCATGCGAGGCGCCACAGTCCAGATGTTTGTTCACCTCTGGAGTCCACCCAGCAGTCAACAGGCCCCACAAAAGGCCCCATTCAGCAGAAAGCCAAACCCGGCTCTGCCAAGGATTTTCACTTTACTTGGACCTGAAGTGGGTCCAGGAAGCGGGTCAGATGAGGCAGACCTGCAGCAGGACGCTGAAAACCTGATGGAGGTTTTCCCGAGTCCTCCTCTCAAAGTTCACGTTCACGTGGGACAAGGTGTGTCAGAAAACTGCAAAGGGCTCATATCCTCCTCTCAGTTGAACAGATTATCTGTAATGGTGGAAGATTCAATAATCTGAGGAGCGGGGGCTCGGGATGGGGGTTCGGAGTCCGTGGGGGCCTGCTGGCCTCCCTCACAGTCACAGGCGTGCGCCCCCGCGGGGCACCCTCCAGCTGCGGCTCTCCGCCTTCGTGGCCGTGGTTTTTCTCCTCCTCCTGGGGGTCAGCGTGCTCCACCTGCCGGACTCCTCGTCCGAGCCCGAGGAGGGGGAGACCCCCCCTGTGACGCTCCTCATATGGACCCGTCCGTTCGGGGAGGACCACCAGCTCCCGGACTGCCTGCAGCTGTTTCAGGTCGTAGGGTGCGCGCTCACTGACGACGCGAGCGCGTACCTCCAGGCGGACGCCGTGCTCGTTCACCACCGGGAGGTGTCCACCGGAGCCGCGGGACTCCCGCCGGAGCCGCGTCCAGGAGCGCAGAAGTGGATCTGGATGAACTACGAGTCCCCCACGCACAGCCCCGGACTGTGGCGCCTCGGGGGGCTCTTCAACCTCACGCTGAGCTACCGCGCCGACTCCGACATCTTCCTGCCCTACGGATACTTGGTCTCCCGTGCGCGCACGGACACGAGCGCGCTCCCGCTGTCCTCCCCCCAGATCCCACGGAGCCTCTTCGTGGCCTGGGTCGTCAGCAACTGGTCGGAGAGCCACGCGCGCGTGTCCTTCTACCACCAGCTGAGCAGGTACGTCCGGGTGGACGTGTTCGGGCGCGCGGGGCGGCCGTTACCGAGCGGCGAGGATCACGTGGTGCGGCTGCTGGAGCGGTACCAGTTCTACCTGGCCCTGGAGAACTCGCAGCACACGGACTACATCACGGAGAAGCTGTGGAACGCGGTCCGTGCCGGCGCGGTGCCGGTGGTCCTGGGTCCGTCCAGGAAGAACTACGAGCGCTTCCTGCCGCGCGAGGCGTTCATCCACGTGGACGACTTCCTCTCGGTGAGGGAGCTGGCCCGGTACCTGCTGCTGCTGCGGAGCGACCCGGTCCGGATGAGGGGGCACCTGGACTGGAGGAGCAGCTACAGCCTCCACCAGCCGGACTTCTGGTCCGAGCACTACTGCCGCGCGTGCAGGGTGGTGAGGAGGACCAGAGGACAGACTGCTGTGGTGCGACACCTGGACCGGTGGTTCGATTCCTGACGGTTATCTCAAACTGACAAGAAACAGAAGGAAGACACAACTTCCAAAAAACAAACATCTTACATCTGCTGACGTGACGTCACTGCATAGCTTGTGGGGCGGTGAGAAGGACCAGGGAGAAATCGTTAGTGGTGACACCTGCCATGGTTAAAAACATGAAACGATAAAGAAAGTGGAGGATGGTTTGATTCTTTAAAAGTAAAAACATCTCCCGGGTTGTACACTTGGTACTGTCAGTTCCGTCATGACGGGTCGTTTACTACTGACCTGTAGTTTGAGCACTACTGACCTGTAGTTTGAGCACAACTGACTTGTAGTTTGAACACTACTGACCTGTAGTTTGAACACTACTGACTTGTAGTTTGAACACTACTGACCTGTAGTTTGAGCACTACTGACCTGTAGTTTGAGCACTACTGACCTGTAGTTTGAACAC